GCATCCCTTCCAGCCTGACTGGGCTGCTCAGAGCTGGGCCTCTTGGCCCCCCCAGCTCAGGACACACAGTGAGGGTCAGTGAGGAGTGCGGCCGCCCCGCAGCCACACGCCCTGCCCTGGGGAGCCAGCCCCAGGACAGCCAGGTGGTTGAGTAATCCTCACATGGCCGGGCAGGGCAGCAAGGCCTCCGAGTCCCAGGCCTGACCCGAGGGTGGACGGATCCGGCTGCTCTCCGTGCTGGCGCTCCCACAAGATCGATGATGGGGAGCTGGCACTCTCACTGATCTCCAGGCTGCGGCCCCTGTGGGACCACCTTCCGGGAGTGTGCACGGGAACCACCCCCAGGGGGCAAGTGGGTGAGGAGGGTTCTGGGGGCAACTCCACGACGGGGACCCATCACGCGGCCAGCCTTCGGCTGAGCCACCTGTCTCCCTGACGTTTCTAGGTGTGTGAGGGGATTCTGAAGGTCCCTCAGTCTGTGACTGGTTTTTCCCAAATTTAAAAGCCTCATGAAGAGTTTGCCCTAATCCGTGTCCCAACAGCCTAGACAGCTGCTCAGCTGCAGAGGAGCCGCCCTGGGTTCACAGTCTCGCCCCTCCTCTCCATGGCTGTGACATGTGGCACAAGGGGCTTCAACTGGCAGAGCCTCAGTTTCCCCAAAGCCTCAGTTTCTCACAGGGTCGTGTGAGGGGGAATTCTGCACACACTGGGGGTCAACACGATGATGATTCAATTCCCAGCGCCCACCCCCTTGCTGTGTGACCACAGGCAAGTTACTCAACCTCTCTGTGCATCAGAACAAAGGCAGTGGGCTGTGAGGAGGGAGCACGCTCAGTGCGGAAATCCTCCCGTCCTTCTTCATTCGGCACACGCACGGCAGCCACCACAGACCGAGCCCAGGTCACACCGAGGATGGAAATCTCGGTCATTCGGGGCCCCTCTGCCTGCCGACGACCCCAGGCTGAGGATGACCCTGGTGGACGCCAACTTCTCACAAAGACATGCAAGAAACCCCATATTTGAACTGTTTTATTTGCTTTCTGGGGTGTCCAGTTTGGGGTCTCCCAGAGCCCAGCCCCCAGCAAAGCGTAGCAGACCCTGCTCCGGCCTGGGGTCCCAGGCACGGGGGCTGCAGACAAGGCACTCACGGGACTTCTGGGGGCCAGCGAGGAGCCACCTGAGGCTGCAGGGGCCGGGCCACCTCTGGGGACAGAAGCCACAGCCACCTCCGGCAGGAGAGGCTTTCCCTAGAGAGATTTAGGACCAGATAGAAACCTGAGATGGTGGGGGAGACCCGGAAACACGGCAGGGACCCCGGGGCAGGCAGAAAGCCATTCTGCTTCCCAGGCCCCAGACGGGGCCTCCTGGGGATGCGGGGACACCGCAGGCCTTGGGGGCAGAGAGCAATTCCACCCCGGCTCCTCTGGGATGTGCCCCAGAGAATGTGCAGGACACAGGGGCCCTGGCCCCAGGCTCACCCCGAGAACGGCTCGGGTGAGCCAGGCCTGGACAGTGGGACCAGGGCCACCTCCGGGAGCCGACACTGGCTTCTCTGCCCGTCCTGTCCCCTCTCTCTGGGCCCAAGTGTCCTGGAGCAGCAGGCACTTCTGTGGGTCCCTGGGCAGCTGAAGGGAAGGCTCGGGTGAGCAGAGACGAGGAGAAACGATTTTTGTCGGGGGAGCAGCCCGGGGCTGGACAGGAGCCCCTCGAGGCCTGGGAGACCCCGACACTCGGCTTGTGACAACTGAGCCTCAGTTTCCCCGTCTGTAAAAGGGTGTAAGGCACCCCCTCACATGGTTGTGGGGAGGACGCACAGGGAGGGAGGGAATCGGGGGACAGGTCTGTTGGAACGGGCGCTCAGCATCAGTTAGGAATTCAGTTTCACAACGTGGACCTTGGCAAACGCCCCCTCACCCTAAATGCTGCCATTCTGGCCTGTGGGCCTAGTGTCACCTCAGGCCCTCAAATGGCGTTGTTGTGTCAGCCCAGGGGCTGACAAGCACTCCGGCTGGACGGTGGGTTCCCTTTCTGGCTGATCCAGTCTTTCAGGGGCCAGGACATAACCTCCATGTTGTGGGCTTTGCACCATTAGGGTCAGCAGGAGCAGGGCATGGAAAAAGCAGGGTTTTTCACGGGCAAGCGGGACGCTAGGCTGGAGGTTCCCTGTGGGGAGGGAAAGAGAAACCAGTCACCCTTGGACCTACTGTGTGCCGGGCACAGGGTGTCCATTTCCTCCCACACGCCAAGCTGGATCCCACCTTGGAGCCTTTGCACAAGCTGCCTCCTCTACCGGGCACACTCCATCCCTTAAACCTGAGCCTGGGCTGCCATCCTTCCAGCCTGCCTGACATCGGCACTGCCCTCCTTTACCTGGTTGTGCATCATTCGTCTCCCTACTAGAATCTCAGGAGGGATTTTTGTCTGCTTGTCACCACCATGCCTGGCACGCAGTAGGCGCTTAGTAAATACTTGCAGGAGGGAATGTATAGCCCGTATTTAGAGGCTGAGATTCGAATGCTGTCTCTGTCTCCTCCTGCTGGCAGTCAGAAACATTTTACTGAAGCCCTACTAAGTGCCCGGGGCTGGGGAGACAGCAACCAGCTACTGTGTTTGCTACTCTCCGGGTCTCAGTTTCCATATCTGAGAAACGAAATGTACCAGACGACACGGGTTGCCCAGTTTCCAGAATCCTGGGCCCCCAGGATTCTCAGACCCCTCACCCACCCAGAGTGGTCCAGGTCTTGGGGACAATGGAGGGGTGGGGCTGTGGTTTAGGGCCCACAGCCTAGTGGCTAGGCTCAGAGAGGACAGAGGTTTACTCAGTCACACAGCACAGTGAGATTAGGGAGGGACCAGAGCTCTCTCCCCGGCCTGACACCCCCCCCACACACAACAAGTCCTCTCAGATCCTAGTGCAGCCCAGAGCTCCCCCAGCCCTGAGCCTCCATGGAGGACAGGAGTTGGGGAAAATTCTCGAGGGCACCTGCTGCGAGCGACTTGAGCAGTGTTTGGCCGGAGACTGGGTCAAATCCGGAACCGCCTGGGCACTTCTGCCCGTCCTCCCCACCCCCACCCCACGTGCACCCCTAGACCCTCCTCCTGAATTCCCCCTCCCCCAGCCCAGGGCAGGAACCGGCTCTCCTGGCAACTACCTCTCTGGGTTCTCCAGGTGCTGTGCGCCTTCAGGAGAGTCGCTGGCCTCTCTGGGCCTCAGTTTCCCAATTTGCGATCTGGGAAGGGGTTATAACAATCCTGTGGGGCTGAGCCCCACCCTGTCCAGCCACAAATGAGGCCGCTAGCTCCCCCATCAGCCCCGGCGGGGTCGGGATTCCCGCCAGGTTCACAGACGGGGAAACTGAGGTTCAGCAGCAGGCCTGGGCCGTTATGACACGGAACTACTGGTTAGATTGGGGGGCTGCCCGGGGGGTCTTGGTTCCCTCACACTTGAGGACGAGGTCGGTGTTCAAGTCTCTCGAGTCCTGGCTCGCCCGAAGCCTGGTCGGCGGGTCTCTATGGCATCTCTGCAGCTCCTGG